CTTGCGCCAGAATGTTGCATTTTCCTCCTTCAACATGGTTAGATACTTCAGGACGATCTCGCGGAGGATAGGAAAGTCGGACATCCTGTATCGGTTTTGATGAGGAGAGATGTAATCCAGGTTGTACTTCAGCAGGTCGGACATGCCTGAAAAGTGCATGAACACAACTGGCTGCGAATCATACCAAACAGTGCCGTTCTCCATGCGAAGATGAGCCCCTCTGTAATGCAGGTTCCAATATGCAATGTTGTAGCGAGGATCTCTTAGCACAAGATACTCCTCCTGCTGCAGGAACGACGCAATGTATTGCCCCCATTTCTGATCGAAATCCTCCCCTGTCCAAGGAGCTGCATGGCCATAGTAGCGCAAACGGTCGAGCCACCAGTCGAGAATGTCATAGGTAGGTCCACTCTTCGAGGCAGCCAGGAAGCCAAAATTGAACTGCCCCGCAAGCATGATCGTTCGTTCGTCTTGATGGTATCCATCTAGGGGCACCGGCTGTGTCACGTGCGGAGTCACAACAAATTGGTACCGGTCCAACGCCTCGATGACCGCTGTAAGCGGTTGCATGATCCAAATATCGTTGTCGACATAGAGCACCTTGTGACAGCCGAGCTTCTGAAACATAAACTTGATGGCAGCAGGCTTGATGGCAGTGTTGAAGCACTGCATGTTGTAGCGAAACGCGATTTCTGCGTAGCTAAATGGCATGTATGGCTGCAGTTGGTCGAGAGTGGCAAGCTGCCATCTGCTCGGGAAATCCCGCAGTAGCTGCAGGTGCAGCTGTTCACGCTTGTCGTTTGGCCCGTTTGGACCACTGGCCCATCCGAGTGGCTTGTGATTATCTGCCACAGCCCAGACGTATCTCATCTCGGGGTGTAGAACTTCAACCCGCTTTAGAAACGCACTCACAAATCCATAGTTGTTGAATGCTGAGATTGTCAGCAAGCAAGCGGGCTTGGAACTTGCAATGGTGAGTGATTCAATTTGAGAAAGGCTCTCCATCGCTGTCTCAACGGCAGGGAGGACACTGAACTGCAAACGCAGCAAAGCCAAAATGCAGAATAGGGATCCCAGCAAACGCACCGGCCTGCCGACGAGATGCCCAAGCCTCATGGCTGAATGGGCAACCGAGCCAACGATGAGCTCAACTAGCAGAGCCAAAGCTTCAAGCTCAGCCAAAGAAAACATGACTTAGAGATTTAATTAGGGGCGTCATCTGCTATCCGGGCCTTGACCTCCATCCACCTGACTCTGCACTCAGCAACTCAAGCCCAGGCATTCACCGGACTTAGCCCGAAGTGTTTGGAGGGGGACTGCCGGTTGGCATGAGTACGGAAAACGCACACTAAGCGACGGGACATCAGAAGGTCAATAATCAGACGCAAAGGTGCAGCGCAATCCAGAACATGGGACGCCGGCATGCACATCGCGAAGGAAACACGCAGTAATCTACCATCCCGAGTGCTTCTTCGGGAAGCCGGAGAACTTCATACACTTGGGCTCACCTCAACTGGCATGCTGCCGACGGATTTCTTTTCGGCCATGTGAATGGGACAACCAAGGAACATGAGGGATGGCATGAGGACGAGCCTCAATGTGACGAAAAAATGTATCGCACAACAGCAGCGAGGTCAACACAGCTTTTTCGGCAAAGAGATTCCGTCCATGCGATTCCAGTGCAGGCTGCGGCAGGGCCGGCATGCCAAGCTCGAAAGGTCGGATGCATCAGCTTGGCGCGGTGCCACATGCCCCATCGCAGAACAGCCAGAAACCAAGACCGTTAGGGCCTCGGCTGAGCCTTGGCAAGCTCTGATGAAGCTAGGACTTGCTTCTGTTAAAGCGATCCTGCTCCTTGGTCTTCTTGCGTGTCACCCGCTGGGCCTGGGTAATGGCAGCAATGGCTTCCAGCCGAGCCTTGATTCTGTCTCCAACTGCCTGAAACCCGAACTGCTCCCGGAACAGCGGTCCAACCACCTGTCGGCATTTCTCAAGCAGCCCCTGATCCGCAGCCAGCTTGCTCATGGCACGTGCGGCCTGCACAACGTCCGGCTCAGCCCACCTCTGGTCGGATGTGACGTCTTGGAGAGCCCCCGTCAGATTGAAGGGTACATAGCCATGCGGGATCAGGAGGAAGTGAAAGTCTGTCGGCAGCCGCGACATGAAGTCCATGTTTCCACCATAGGCTGTTGCGATGACCGGCTTGCCCAACATCAGGCTCTCCAGCCTCAGCCGCTTCCAGGTCAAGGGATTCAGAACCGTTCTTGGGTTCAAAGGATTTCACAGGGTCCAGGTTTGGTGGTACTGCAGCCGGCGCACTTCCTGAACAGCAGCCTCCCGCCATGCTCTGCCCGGAAAATCAGACCACCCCCCAAGCCGGCAGAAGACCCAAAACACCAACAGATTCAAAGGTTTGAATGGGGTATTGGCAAGGGTTGACGGCTGCCTTGCACATGGACCCTAAAACCCCTGATACTCTCCGTGGGGCAAGGCCAGGCCATAGCTTTCCGAGCGATGGAGAGAGACCAGGACATCCACGGAGCCCAGAAGCGAACGCAGCTCCTGGGTCTGGGGGCAGTCTTATGAAGCCTTCAACCCAGCTTCTGGCCATGAACCTCCAAGATTTCAGGGTTTAGGCTTGGGGCCTAGGCCTCCGGTAAAAACCCAGAAAAAACCCTAAACCCCACTCCTGGGTGTTGAGCACGTCCGTCATGAGACGCATACTGCTGCTTCCGTTCACAGCCGCCCGCAGCTCTTCGAACTCGCGCCCAAAGGAATTGCATTTGATGACAAGCAAGACGTTGGGCGAGTGCCTCCTAGATCACGGCAACACGAACCCGAAGCTCGAATGCTGGGCCCTTGGCCCCCCCCCC